AAAAAAAAAAAAAAAAAAAAAAAAAAAAAAAAAAAAAAAAAAAAAAAGAACAAGCTTGGGGTTTAAAAAAAAAAAAAACGGAAAAAAGGATGAGAGGTGGAAATAATTATTGACAAATGGCAACAAAGGTATAGCGCCGCGAAGAAGAACAAATCGGGCGCTCTCAAACGTGCAGCAAAAATGCGCATAACGATGCTGCAAATATAGTAGCCAAATGGGATGATAAAAAAAACAAAAAAAAAAAAAAAAGGGCAGGTAGGCACCCTGACCAGACAAGCGGTTAAGCCGGGCGCGATAAAGCACACCCCGTTCTTGGCGGGGAAACAAAAAAAAACAAAAAAAAAGAGAAAAACGTGCATTGTGCACACTTATGAGTACATTTGCATGTATGCACTGATACCCATCCATGGGTGACAATAAAGTTTAGAAAATGTACATGTACATGCTGTCGAATTCGCGTACATAGGTGTACACCTTCTTCACGACCACGTACTCTTCCTCCAGGTCACCGAAATCAGATTCCTCATCATTCGCCATGCGAACGATGTTGTTATTTAAAATGTTGGGGAAGTATTTTGAATTCAACAGGGTCCTATTCAACAGGTTATGCCTGTAGGCGAGTGCCCTATTCGTGCTCATATTTTTTGCTCTGAAAAAATGGCCCCTTTCCGATACAGGAGTTTTATCATAAAATTTGCTGAACACACCAAGAGGCTTCTCAAAGTAACTCATTATTCTGTTTTTCGTGTACACTTTGGACCTGCTTTCCAACGCTGTACCATATTCCTTGGGAGTTGCTCCGTTGTAATTTTTTATTGCATTGACCAGGGTACATTTTTTTGTGTACTTCTTCAATTCGTTTTCTTCATCCTTTCGGAAAATAAAAAGCAGGGGGCTGAATTTTTTTTTTAAGATTTCGAAATTCTCGTACTCCTTCATCTTGCCTTGTGTACACAGAGGATAAAGGGGAGGTTTGGTTTCTTTTCCGGAGGTGTCAGGTGGTGCGTTGCGGTTGTTGTTATGTACTGGTGGCTTCTTTTAAAGCGGGGACGATCAAAGGGGGAAATACCGTCACACACATTCCTGCGATAGGTACGCCACGGGAAGGCGTAATCGCTTAGGGGTGAAGGAAAAAATCTACTGCCTTGGTGCGACCAAGTTCATACGGACAAGAATTGTAAATTGAGCAAACATCTACGTAAAGGTGGCAGGCGCATGTGCCTACGGAGCGAACAGCTTATAAGGGAAGGGCTTAATTTAAGTCAAATTTTACAAATGCTTAAAAAACAAAATCAAAATCGACATAAAAAAAATCAACGTCAAAATGGAAGTTAAATTCAAAAACTTAAAATCAAACGTTGAGGGGAAACAAAATAGAAACAAGTTGCCATCATAGCATGTATACGTACACAGCACATATGTGTGAATCGCCGTGTTAATATTCACCAGCACGTAGAGAAGTTGGCCTCTAATTTTTTTTGTTTTTGGTTTTTTTCACAACAGGGGTTGGTTAGGAAGTGCAGGAATGCATATATAAAAATGGAAAAGGCTTACACACACTGCGCTCTACATGAGGAATGTCACGCGTGATGGTTGTTCATGTGTGCTTACTGAAGAAAATTCAATCGCGTTGTTCTTTTGTAACTTGCGCCACGGAATCCGTTTTTATGCTTTACCAAGTTGTTTTAAAAGAGGAACCATTTGGTGGGTCCCTCAAACGGGTAACTTGCTGCATTTTTTTTTATTAAATTTCTCGACAAAAAAAAAAAAAAAGTTGTAAAAAAAGCTAGCTTCTATAATTCTTAAAAAAAAAAAAAAAATAAATAAACTGTCGACGTGCAACTGTTGAAGGGAGAACAATTACATATAGAGTGTGTAAAAATTGCATTTACGAAAAAAAAGGAAGCTATATATACACGCACATATCCACACACTGTGGCTACATTTTTAGGCCCTCGATTTATTTAAAAAAAATTGGAAGCGGACTCATGTGCGCAGTGACCGATTGCAACCTTGCGTCAATCTGACACCTACTCACTTTTTTTTTTTTTTTTTTTTTCTTTTCTTGTTTTAAATTTGTAAAAAAAAAAAAAAAAAAATTCAAAAAGGGAACTAACTTAAACACATTTTGTTCGATCTTGCGCCACACATGGGAATGCGCATTTCTCTTGTGAACCTCAGTGTACAAGTGCTAGAACAACGGAGAAGGAACACGTAGGGGAATGGCACACTCTACTTTCCTGTACACCTCATTGATTCCCATTTTTGTGTGTAAAATTGATCCACCAATTTTTACCTGACCCGTGCAGATAAAAAAATAGGTCGGTCAGTGATTCTCCTAACAGTTGAACAGAGAATAGCCAAGCTTAAGGTACACCAGGTATAAGCGCAACTCAATTGAATTGCAGCGATCTCCCACAGGGATAAATGCACATACAAGGTATTAGAACAAGGTTAGAAAATGAAAAAAAAAGTTTTTTTTTTTTTTTTCGCACCCCTCTAAGGAGTTCCGCTTTTTTTTTTTTTTTTTTTTTGATTTATCCGAGGAGATATATTTGATGTTATTCTTTTTTTTCCACTGCGTGTGTGCTCTGTGGTGAAATTGGGCCAAGTACGTGCCGAGTATTTAAGGATGCCAGAATTTCCTCAGCAGCAGTGTATGGCCCATCATCGTTCGCGATGAGAAACGCTGCATAGGTGGCTTCCCGCCTGTTTCCACTGGTTACCGCTTTTCCTTTATGCCATTCAAAATTATGACTACTATACGGGTTAGACCTTTGGTACAGGTTATGGTTGCTACCCCCCAGTTGAAAGGGTCTCCCCCTCCATCATAAGCACGTCGCCACGACGCCACCTCTTTATGAAGCACCTGTTTATACAATTGCCCTCTTTGTGAAGAGACAAAAACAAAGAATGGGCCGTGTTTGGGTTGCTACTTCAAATTGGGGTACTAGCAATCTGTTTAGCTACCCGTTTCCCGTCCAGAGACTATTCTCCATTAATGTCAAATGGGAAACAAAATTAAGGGCACATGGAAACTGGGCTGAAATTGTGATGCATACACGAAACCTTATGCTAACAGCTTCAATTGAAGGAAAGTTCACCTTTATTAACTCTGACGCCCCGTAGGGTGAAGCTGCTTCCCTTTTTGGTTCGTCTTTTGGTTCACTCTCCTTTCCTTTCCTCGTTCATACCAACACGGGATGTATAATATAAACTCCTCTAGTTCCAGATTTTTAAGCGTCATTATGGGGAAAGGCTAGGAGAATATATAAAAAATGGAAAAAAACAGTTGTAGCATGTAATCCCAAATTTTCGCAAAAATTAAATAAATATGCTGCATGCATGTTTGTTCTTCCAGTGAGGACGCTTAGCGAAAAAGTCACGCCATCGCGGGGTGACAAGGCTGTTTCGATTTTTTTTTCTTTTTGTTTTTTTTAGCAGTGGGACGGTGCGTTTTCTTGCCCCATTCCGGGAAACCATCAATGCGGCGCATTTTTTTCTCCAAGTGGTTTTGTTTTTTATTACCACCTTGCCGTCATTTTTCCGCAATTTTCTGCGTAATATTTTTGCCGATCTGTTTATACCCTTTACCGGTCATTTCTTCTTTTTTTTTCTTTTTGGCCCCCTAAGGGACAAAACAAAATAAGGAGAGCCTTCCCACATGTTGCCTCCATACCTGTGGGCCCCTACTCAATTTGGCATACGTGGCAGATCAGCAAAGTAGAATAACCCAAATCTTGTTAATTCCGCAGTGACTGTGATGTGAAGCGCAATAGGAACTGCAGCATCGCGCAGTTCTGCTGCCCTGTGAATTCCCCCCACAATTGGGCTACCCCCATTTGAACTTCTCCCCTCGCTTGTCACAACCATGTCCATGTTCAAAGGGATGCTGATAAAGTCTTCCGAGCGAAGCACCAAAGGGAAGAACCCCAATGCGGGTAAGGGGAGCGCTGCACAAGAGGCACAATTGATGAGGGGAAGTAGCACTCTGAGTTCGAAGAGGGGGGAAGCGTATCTGGACTTGGAGGACTTGGCGCCCAGCTACTGCAGCAGTGTGGCGGGTACTGATAAAGGTGGTAACCATCTCCAGGGAGAGGAAGCGGTTACATTACCCCTGCACGGGGATAAAGACGAAGACGGGAGCTTCGAAAGTCCAAACGGTTTTTACAAAATTGCACAAAGTGGAAATGCCCCCCGGTGTGGCAGCTACGAACGAGGCAGTAACAATAACGGGTCAGCGAACGGGGTGAAACGCAGCAGTTGCAGCTACCCGAACTGGAGTAATTCCCGAAATGAATACTCAAGTGAACCATATAAAGGGTATCTGGAATACACAGAAAGGGATGTAATAAAGCGAACCGACGGTGCCATTTCCCCAGAGGGGGGAATGCATCACATAGAAAACTACCCTCAGCAGATAATAAACCCGTTGAGTGATCTGTTAACCCTCATGAGCGATTTTTTCATGCCCAACACAAAGCAATGGAATAAACACAAGATGAAAAAAATTTTGGACGAACTGACCCAAAATAAAATTCACCAAGATGTGCTAATCGCTTTGTATTATTTTACATATGAAGCGTATGCAAACAGAGTTCTCCTAAACTTGAAGGAAGAATACAACTGTGATTTGCTGATTCACAAAATTTTGGGGAAGGTACATAAGATAAGGAAAAAGAGAAAGAAATGTAAAGAGCAAGAAAAAGTCCTCATCATAAATGAAAAGCTAGACACAGCCGACGAAATGCAAAAACAAATATTCACCTACAATTTGGAGTTAACGAATATCGAAAATTATATTACCGATTTATTTAGGAAAAAAAAACAAGTACATTGTTGTAACATTTTTTTGAAGACCTACGTAAAAAATATTCTACGCTTGATTATTCGTAACATATGCACAAATAAAAAAGAAGAAAAACAAAAAAAAAAAAAATTTTTTGACGAAAAAAAAAATGAACTGTGCATGTGGAAAAAAAAGATCACACAAAAGGAGGAGGACATAAAAGCTGAGGAGGAAAACATAAAAGAGAGAGAACGAAATGTAGAAGAATCCAAAGAGGAGTTAAACAAAGCTATGCAAGTTATATCCTCCACGTACGAAAAACAGTTACACGAAGTTGACGAAGAAATTGACTCCCTTGATCGAAACATAAAAGAACTTGAAGAAATGATTACTATTAAAAAATCGCAAAAGGAAGAAGCCATAAGGAGTAAGAGAAAATTAGAGAAAGAGAGAGAAACGGAAATGAAGACACTTGTGCAGAAGCAGTCTGATTTAAATACTTCCATCAATTTTATAAAAAACACCACGTCCCTAATGGAAGAGAAAAAGAAATTAGTCGAGGATGAAAAGGAAAAAACGAAAAAAGCCATAACCCATTTGAAGGAAGCCTACCAAACCTGCTGTCAGAGGAAAGCCCAAACGAACCGCTTACTTTCCAATCTAAAAAATGTTGTTCGAAATTTGTCCAATTCGGATGAAGAAAGCGAAAACGTGTGTGAAGGTAATTCAGGGAGGAAGTCCCTGGGAAATTATTCCGAAGTAGCGGATGGAAAGGACAGTTCCCCTGCGTCTGATGAAAATGCACACACCAATAATGCTACAAACACGCAAGGGCAGGGGCAGCAGCAGGGGCAGCAACAGGAGAAGGAACACGAGAAGGAACAGGAACAGCCGAGGCAACACTTGGATACCTCCAAATTGCTGAAAAAAATATTCATTTTAAAGAAGAATATTTTCCAAGTGGAAAAAAATATGAACAGCATTAAAGGAAAAAAAAAAAAACTCACAATCGACATCAGCCAATTTAATTGCGAAATGGACAACATAAATATTAAGAAGGAAAATCTGAAGAACAAAAAGAAAATACTTCTGAAAAATAAAATGCTAAGTGAAATTAAGAACACCATTAACGAGTTGGAGAAATTGGACGAAACGGAAGACGTCATTTTGAAGCAACTCGAGGAGGCAAAGGCGGAGTTGAGTCTGTTAAGGAAGGACCACCTTCGCATGAAGGAACAGAAAGAAGAATTAAAGCGCAGATTATTTCGCCAAGAAAAGAAGTTGCTCAAGTGGGAAATACGCCACGTGCGGGGAGGCCTAAATCATGACGAGGGGGCAGACAATGTGGTAACATCTCCCCCAGCTGAGGAAGTGGTAAGCGTGCCCGTAGACATGGCTAACGGCGAGGCGGGCGACGTGGTAACCTCCCTGGAGGAAGAACTCAACCAGGAGGAAGCGTTTCCATTTTCTGAGGAATCGGAGCAGTCAGAGGGGGGCGAATCAATTGTCTCCTTTAGTGAGATGCTGAACCAGTTGGATAGGATAAGTACACACGGCGAAGATGAGGACGATCAAAATATCTCGAGCGACCAAGGGGGGAGTACCCAAGAGGAAGAAGACACCTCGCAGAGTGAGGGGGAAGAGGTGGACCGAGGAGGAGATGCCGGAACCAGCCAAGCTGAGTGTCCCCTTCCAAGTGATGAAGAGAAAAGTGGCCCATCGGAGGACAACTCTGACAGTGGTGGCTATGGCGACCACGCACAAGTCGTTGCAGATGTTATGCCCAATGGGCGGGAAGCAAACACAAGCGATTCCTGCCCACCAATGAATTCACAGAGCAGAGACCCACTGAAACGATTGGAAAAGTTAAAACAGGAGGAGAGTTGCACCTTCGAAAGGATGCTAGAGAAGTACAAAACCATATGCAGTGTAAGTGAAAGTGTAGACCACCTGATGTTGGAAAAAGAGGTTCGACATATTTACAAGGACATAATAAGGGAGCAAACCATTTTTAAAAACAAAAAATTGCTCACCTTAAGGAACAGAAAAAGAGTCCTCAAGAGGTACTACCACTATGTGTCGGACAACAGTGAGGAGGAGGATCTGAATGGATAAGTGGTGGATTGGACCCCAGGTGGTTACATGTTTTTTGCCGACAGGAGATGACCTCGCACGAGGGGAGGGTTATTCTTTCGTAGAATTCCTGTTCTGCTTATTCCTCAGTTTAATAAAGTGAACCGGTGCGGGATGGGCGAAGGTGTGTGTATGTACGCCTCTCTCGTTGGAAGCAATCCTCTTGAGGTTTTTCTACATGGAGAGCAATTTGCGACGTTTGCGCAAACGCTTCCAATCCCATCATATCTTTCCGCTGGGCTTATTCCTTTTTTGTTTTTTTTTTGTGTGTGTGTGTGTGTGATTCCTTGCGTGCGGTAATTTTTTGAACGCCCCTCTCCCGTGGCACATGGTGTATGCACAAAAAATTTCACCTCCCATTTTCACGTTGCTGATTGGAAGAGAAAACAGGAGTCTTTTTTTTCCTCTCCGCTTAACCGATTCGCCGTTATGCTGATGTGCCCATTCATCTATGCCTTTTTGTGTTTGTTTGTTTGATTACTTCTTTACATATTTGATGGTAAATTATTTTTTATTTTTTTTATTTTTTTTTTTTTTGCGCACTTGATGACTTCACCCCGTATGTGCAAACTTCACGAGTGACGCCATTCGCACACTTTTCACAAAAAAGGTACCGCATATATATAAATATATATAACGTAGTAGCCATTTTTGCGCACCTAGACAAGGAGAAATGGACAGATCCCCTTCGCCCCTGGCCTACACGCTCGCGCGATTTCTCTTGTAAACTCATTTTCTAATGTTCTTTCTCCCATTCTGATAATCCTTCACACATTTTCGCATGAACGAGCAGCTGGCATTTTACTCCTATGCGATGTGAAGCAAGGAAGACGCACTAAGGGCTTAATTAGACGGCCCCAATACGATCTGTTCGAAGTGCCGAAATAAATTTTTACAGTAGGTTTGGTCAACTGGTGAAGGAGGCATAATTTCTTTTTTGTAACCCCCCCCCCTCGAAACATGTCTCCTCATCATGTCTGTGAACAAGTTAAAAAGCAGCGGTCTGCTTAGGCTAGAAAGTAAGAGCGTCGATAAGACGGACTCGAATAACAATCTTGTAAAAAAAAATACGAATATAAAAATTGTGAGGAAGAAAACAGATGGACACATTGAGAGGACCCTGACGGGTACCCTTCCTCCTCAGAAGGAGGGGGACAAGGTGGTGAAGCGCAAGGTACTTAAGAAGGCGCAAGAAGGGGGAGCCACCGTTGTAATGAATACAGGCAGCACAGGGAACGATGGAAACGCTGCTTGCATGGCGGAATCAATCATGCGCAACGAGGATGAAAAAAAAAGTTATGTCGTTCGGAAGACCGCCGCAAAGTTTAGTATGAGGCCAGGGAAGACGAACCAGGATGCCCGCAAAGACGTCCTTAGGGATGATGACGACGCCAATGGAGAGGAAAGTCCGAAGGGGAACCTCGACTATGATGATGCTGGCAGTGGTAACGGCAAAGATTACCAGCATAATAATAACCCTAATGGCGATGACGCCTCCCTTCATGTTTCGAAAAAAAGTGTGAAGAAGAAAAAACCCACTCAGAGGGAGCTAAAGCAAAGCAACCCTTGGGCAAATGATGCTATTCCTGGAACTCAGTTTGATTATACAGGCAACCCTAATGGAAGGAGCGATAAGCGTGAACAGGTAGAAGACGACTCGGAAAATGAAATCCTCAATTCTATTATCAGCAAAAATGAAGAGTCCGTCTTACCAGAACCACCCAAGGAGGTGAAAAAAAAAACAAAAAAAATTATTGTCCGGAAAAAAATACCCATAAGTGAGAAATTAAAAAGTGCAGAGAAGGGTAACGAGCCCCCTGGGGTGCAAACCACTTCTGGTGGACGGACACCTCGCGGCACCACAACGATCATCACCAACAGTAGCAGTGGTGGGAAGAACAATAGCCAAGCGAACGAATGCTGCGAACAGATGGTGAAGGAAATAAAAATGAACGAAACGAAATTCGCAGTCATGCAACAGACGCACAAAGAACAAATGAACACCATGGTAGAAGAAAACAAAAAAGAAAAAAACAAGCTAAACACATACATACAAAATTTAAACGAAGAAATGCACAACATAAATAATAAGCTCTGTGATGAAATGAAGGAAAAAAATACACTTAAGGAAAGTTATGAAAATTTACAAAGTGACAAATTAGAGTTGGAAGAAAAAATTAACATGTTAAAAAGACAAGTAGAAGAATTAAACGAAATGTCTACCCTCCTGAATGAAAAGGTTGCCACTCTGGAAGAGGAAAATCAAATGTTAGTGGATAGGGATCAACAACATGAGCTAAAGGTTGAGGAACTGCAAAGTGAGAAAATGAAAATGGAAAAAAAAATGGATGAACAGAATCTTCTAATCAAAAAGAAGGACGAACTTATAAACAAGTACATGAGTGAAATAGAAAATTATAAAAACGTGTTGAAGAGCAAGGGAGAAATGATGATCCTTGGTAGCTCCACCACCATCGATAAAAGCATGTCAGACAAAAACAGCCAAAAGGAACAGGTAAGCAAACTGATAAGGGAAAAAAAGGAACTCATTTATGCTTTTAAAAAACAGCTAGATTTGATAATAATCCTCAAAAAGCAAATAAGCCTTCTCGAAAACAACAAAATTGTTACTATGACTTCTGGCGAGCTTCAGAAGGTGCTTCACGATTGACCGCGGGGTGGCCAAGCGCTGAAGTGAAACAATTAACAAACGTAGTTATGACTTCAAAAAAGAGACAGCCACTTGTGTGGCCAGCGGCAGTATCCTCCGCCACACACACACACGCGTGCATGTTTGTATGTATATATACCTACATATACACATACTCAGATAAAGGTGATTTTTATAAAATGTCATGCAAAAAATTGGGAGGAAAAATTCCACATAACGCACAAATACGCGTCCGTGTTCAACTACACTTTATTCAAAACGGAAAAAAAGAAAGAAAAAAATGTATGCACATATGTACGATGCACATAACTGGCTATACAATGATCATTTTTTTTTTTTTTTATATCGTCACGACTGATGAGCCTTTTTTCAGCTTCAAAATAATTCTCCACCACCGCTATGCAATTGTCGTAATTGCTGTGCCATCTGCGCAGCTTTGTTTGTTCGTTCTCCTCTCTCGTGTGACCAGGTTAGTCCCGTCTATACTTCCTTCGGTCGTAATCGGTTTGCCTGTCATTGTGCCGCTCGTTGGAGCTGTCCGCCCTGTTCGCCTTGTTTTGGTGCCGCCTCTCACTGTCGTAGTTCGTTTTTCTCTGGTGCGTTCTGCCATCGTCGTGCCGGTTCTCACCCTGACGATTCCGCACATCGTGTCTGCTTCGGTCATCGTGTCTGCTTCGGTCATCATGCCTGCTTCGGTCATCATGCCTGCTTCGGTCATCATGCCTGCTTCGGTCATC